ATAGCTCAGGACACGCATGAAGTCAAGGAAGCAGCTAGGGTTGCCAGCCTCCAGGTGGGGCCTGGAGATCTCCGGCTTTTACAACTGATCTCCAGCTGACAGAGATCAGCTCCCCTGGAGAAAATGGCCACTTTGAAGGGTGGACTCTATGGCATTGTAACCATGCTGAGCCCCCTCCCCTCCCCAAACCCCGCCCTCTCCCGGATCCACCCCCAAAGTCGCCAGGTATTTCCCAACCCAGACCTGGCAACCCTAGAAGCAGCAATGCAGAAGAAGTGTGAGGGGGTGAAGAGCTGAGCCAGGCACTGTCGTCTCCCACAGACACAAATTGCTCCAATGGAAGAACAGACTCAGAAGATGGATCTTCATAGGGTCTAGTGGTCTGAGATTGGTCCCTGAGGGTCAGCTGACACAAGTGCTTGGTCGTGTAAAGCTGCCTTTTGTAGCTTAGACTCTGGGCCCATCTAGTTCAGAACTGCTTTGTCTGACTGATTTAAACCAGTCCATGGTCTTTCCCCGGCATCTCTTATGTGAGATTCTTTAACAGGAGGTGAATTAAAATCTGGAGCCTTGTGCACACAAAGCCATTGCTCTACCACTGAATCTCAGCCCAGTTATGTGGCTGAGCTGGTACGACAGCCTTCTTTTTGAAGCAAGAGACTCAGCCTGCATGGCTACAAAAAAAGGGGATTAGTCTGCAAAAAAAGGGGGTTAGATAGATTCATGGAGGATGTCTATCAATGGCTACTAGGCATGGTGGCTGAGGGGAGCCTCCACATTCAGAGGCACTAAGCCTCTGAATCCCAGAGCCAGGAGGCAACATCAGGGGAAGGCCTCTGCCTCTATGCCCTGTTGTTGGCAGTCCAGAGGAACCGGTTGGCCACCGTGTGAGACCGGATGCTGGACCAGGTGGGACCACTAGTCTGAACCAGCAGGGCTCTTCTTTTGTTGCCGGTAGCACAAGGGCTAAGGCACCAGAGCGTAGCTGCTGGGAGCCCCACCTTGAAATGCCTGTTCCCGCACTGTGTATGTCTTCCTACGCACACACACGTAATCCCCACTTGGTGGCGCACTGCATAAAAAGCCCTTTCCTCAGTGGTTACCAGCTGAACAAACAGTATGCCAACCAGAAGACTGTTTTACCCTAAAAGACCAAAGAGGTGCACACGAGAGGTAACGCTTCCTATTTGGTCTCTGTGCCCCCCTCGGAGCCGTCCAAAGTAAACGTGCAAATATAAATTCTAGGTTTAAAAATGATTTAATTTGTATCAGTGGATGACCCTGGAGGATAATTTTCTATTGGTAAGGAGGGAATAAGAGAAAGAGAGTGTGCTGTTCTCCATCGAACTCACACAGATGGCCACTTTGGAAATGAAACGTTTAAATGGGTGGGGTTGTGAGGGCAACTAAATCAAGAACGAAAGACATTTAGAGCTTAATAGGTCATCTTTCAGGTCATCCCCTGCCCTGAAAGGGGGCCGTTTATATCTCAGCCATCCCCGACAGCTGTTTGTGTAACCTACTTTTTTCACACTTTTAGTGTTTCAGTGGAGCCCTGCCTGATAGCACCAGTTTGGCCTTCTTTTGTTCCGAAATGGTGGGAAAGGATGGACAGTCCTGTTTCCACACACCCCTATGGAGAAAGAGTTGTCAGAAGGGAAAACGGGCATAATTAGGGTGGTGTCTCAAGTGGGCGAGGCACTTAGCATAAAAACAGTCATAAAATAAAATCATTGTTGTCATGGTCGGGGATAATTCCCCAGTTGGATCATCAGTAAAGGTGGTTAACTTTCTCCAAAAGCAGAGGCCATTTCGGGGGAGATCGCGGGGGATCGCAGTTCCCCCAAGTGAGGTACGGGGGGCGGGGCACATGACGAAGCCCCGCCCCCTGCTTCCGTCCGCCCTGCTTCCGGTCCTCATTCAGCCAGGAGGAGGCAGGAGAAGAGGGAGGGTAAGTTGCTTCCTCTCCGCCTCTCCCCACCCCTGCCTGCCTGGGGCCAGGGAGGGCTTTCGTGGGGCTTCCTTGTACTCCTGCCGGCCTTTCAGGTCCACCGCCGGGCCCCTCATGGGGCTCGGCAGTGGAGCTGCAAGGCCGGTGACGGCGGCCGGGACCGTTGGGGGCGGGGTGTGTGGCCTTATGACACACTTCCGGTGATGTCAGGGGGTGTGGCCTTATGACACACTTCCGGTGATGTCATGGGGTGTGGCATATGCTAATGAGTTATGCTAATGAGTTCCCCTAGCTCTTTTTCTACGAAACGACCCCTGTCCAAAAGACAATTTGCCTGGTCACTACCCATCTTCCCTTGCTGTATGCAACCACGGGAGAGTGTTTTGTGTGTTTTAATGGGGTAACACTGGGGCCAAATACGCTCAGCCAGTACTTTATATGAACCAAGTGTGCCACCTTAGAACTGCTAGGGGTTTCTTCACAGGCCGGAAGTGAGCAAAATCTCCCTGTTTCGTTTCTTTTTTATATTCTTTCAGTTTTCTACTTTTGGTTGCTGGTTTTGTAAATTGGTTTGCCTTGTGTGAATGCGCACAGCTTTTATATGCAATCCACACTGCATTGGTACAATGTACATGATTATCCTGATAGTTTCCAATCCTGGTTTAATGACACAGTACTTAAAAATGCATACATTTTAGAGGGGAAGAAATTAGTGAAAGCAAACAAAATGGTGTGGACAATCAAGAATCATGGGTATGAGTGGCAGAAGGGAGAAATAAGGATTTTTTTTCAAGGTCAAAACAGCAGGCGTAGGAAAGCATGGTCTGTTGTAGAATTACTTCAAGAGTTTATGCCCTGACCTGGATAGCCCAGGACAGCCCGGTATAATCCGATCTCAGAAGCTAAGCAGGGTCGGCCCTGCTTTCTATTTGGATGGGAGTCCTCCAAGGAATACCAGGGGCATGATGCAGAAGCAGACAATGGCGAACCACCTCTGAAATGTCTCTTGCCTTAAAACCAAGTCCAGCTCGCCACCTAGTGGTGCATTATACTAAAAGAGCTAGAACGTCTGGCTGCCAATCTTCAGATCTCCTGGCTATATTACTGCCATTTGATAATTAATCAATCAAGAGCTTATATATCTGTTGGGTTTCTTGTATTTTTTTTTCAAGTGAGGACCAGGATTGTGTGCTTGACAAACAGTCACCATCACCACCACCCCTGAATTTTCCTAGCTTCCAAAGACTTTACGGAAGGGAGTGGCTTGTCCCTTCATTTCCATCTGTGAAACCAGAGGAATGGAGGAAGAGGGAAAGCGAAGGACAGAAAGGGTTCCTTTCCCCACGGCTCCCTCTTTGGTCACTCATTCATCTCACCAACTAATGGTGCAGCTGTGATTGATCTCGTTGTGCAAGGCCGAAAAAGTAACCTCCCAAAATGCTCTTAAACTGCACTGTGCTTTGATCATGCAGTGTCTGACTTTCAATGCCTCAATAAATTGCCTGATACCAAGGCAATTTGCCCATCCAGTTCAGTGCCATCTGCTCTAAGTGGCACCAGCTCTGTAGGACCTCAGGCAGAGAAAGCCTTTTTCTGTTTGCTCTTGTTTTTACACTGTCCAAATCAGCAAACCTGAGATTATTTAAGCGGAGGCGCCAGAGACCTTCAGCATGCCAAATTCCTGCTCTGACCCTAAGCCACATCTTTTGTCCCATCCAGTGCTCCCTCTAAGCTGTGGAGTCTTGTGAGCTAAAATTCTACTCTGTGAGCTCCTGGCATTACAGTTGTGAGCGAGCGATTTGACTACTGCATAAATTAGTTTGCTCTGGAGCCATCCTTCCTGGGCTAAGATAAAAATGTGTGAGCCAGAGGCTAGCTTGATCATGCTCACACTAACTCAGGTTAGAGGGAACACTGGCCCCATCCCCAGGCATGCCTTCAGAATCAATAACTGAAGTGAAATGCTGGCTACACTCATAAAGCTAGATTCCAGCTGATATGTTAATCGGTTTTCGGTGTTGATTAGTCAAGATAAACTGTTGCCTTTATTAAATTAGCTTGGCTTTCATGGGATTGATACGGCTGTAACATTTTATTCTGTTTGTATGCTGAAAGCACTTCTCTCTGCAGCTTGTGGGCTCTTTTAGTGTTTTTATTGCAAGCTGCAATGAATTCTTTGGAAGCTGGCTGGATGAGCATTCCCACCAATAAATATTTTAGCTAGCTATTGTCATCGTTGGAAAGCAAGCCGGTTGACGGGCCTAATTAACGGCAGACCCTCCCTTGTGTGTTTTATAAGGCTTGGGATGTGGAAGATCGAAATTGAACAAGGCAAGTTTGCAGACCTCCGCAAGCAGATCACACGGGACGAGAAAGAGCTTGACCTGCAGCACCGAGAGCAGGCGGAAGGACGGCTCCAGAAGCAGATGGAGCGAGCAGTGATGGTGAACCGGAAGTGCCAGGCTGTAGAGAGGTTAGCTTGGAGGCTGTTGCACATGTGGATGCTTTAGGGGACCAGAAACAGCGAGTAATTAGAGCAGTCAGTCATGGGGGGCAGCAGGGTAGCCAAGTGGGGTGACCATAATGTACTACTATACATATAATGTACAAGTATAATCTTTCTCAGGCTGTTATGCTCAGGTCTCAAGTATTGATGCACAGTCCTGAGAAGCTGAAACTTAGCTGACCTCTAGTAGAAAGCCCTCTCCCGTTAGATAGATAGACAGATAAGATAGACGATAGATGGATGGATGGATGGATGGATGGATGGATGGATAGATGATGGATGGATGGATGGATGGATGGATGGATAGATAGATAGATAGATAGATAGATAGATAGATAGATTCATTCCAGGCTCAGTAACCCAGTTGCTTCCAGATCCTTGACTAACAGCAAGCACGAGTTCCGTTGACTAGGACTTTAGGAGGTCCTGCCCCATTCAAGAGGGGAGGCCCGGACTCCTCTTTTCACTTGTGTTTTACCTCTTTTCAGAGAACAGCAGGAGACCTGGGAGGATTATGAAAAAAAGGTTTCCAAAGCTTTGGATGATGCTCAGAGGAACCGTGAAAAAGCTGTACAGTTTCTGAAGTCCAGCTTGGCAAGGTCTTTCCATTTAGACATTTCAAAAGAGCAATACATAAAATTAGAAGAGTTACAGGAGAACATGAGAAGAGTGCTGCTGTATCAGACCCAAAGGTCCATCTAGTGTAGCACCGAGTTTCACACAGTGGCCAAACAGATGCTCCCAGGAGGCACACAAAGCTGACAGCCTTCATTGGCTGTTGTCCCCCCCCCCTGGTATGCAAAAATGTATTGCTTCTCAGCCTTGGAGGTCCCTCTCAAATACCATAGCTAATAGCAATCCATTACCCTCAATGCATTTGTGTAATCTTTTCTAATAATTGGTTCTCCTGGATTAGTTGCACCCAGGGGTCATTTAGTCAGGAGTGGCCATCCCCTGTTGTTTCCCCCCAGTACTCAGTGGTATACAGCCTCTGGGCCTGGCGGTTCTCTTTAGCCATCGTGACTAATGGAGACTGGTACATGCATCCTCTATGAATTTTCCGGTATTTCTCTATAGCTATCGGCTTTTTTTGTAGAAAAAGCCCAGCAGGAACTCATTAGCATAATAGGCCACACCCAATAGCACAACATCATTAGCATATTAGGCTACACCCCAACAGCACAGCTCACTGGCATATTAGGCCGCACCCCCATGTTACCAGAAGTGTGGTCATCCAGCCACACCCACCTTTTGCTTCTTATTCTGTTTACTTTGTTTATTGTCAAAACCCAGGGCCTTTTTTTGTAGCAGGAACTCCTTTCCATGTTAGGCCACACACCCCTAATGTAGCCAACCCTAATGAGTTTCTGCTGTTGGGTGTGGCCTATTATGCTAATTAGTTCCTGCTGGGCGTGGCCAACTCGGGAGCCAGCCGGAACTCCGTTCCTGTGCGTTCCTGCCCAAAAATAACCCTGATAGCTATCAAAGCAAGTGGCCTTTTTCACATCTTGTGGCAGTGAATTCCATGTTAATTACACCTTCCAGGAAGTATTTCTTTTGACCGTCCAGAATCTGCTGTCTGTCAGTTAATTTGAGTGACCCTTCTCGTGTTACAGGAAAGGGGGGGGGGATCTCCCTGTCCTCCAAACCATGCTTAACTATGTGAATCTGTGTCGTAGTTCATGCCTCTGCCTAATCTCTTTTTCCCTACTACACTGAAATACCCCACATTCTCTTGAGATCTTTAACAATAGTAGAACCAAAACCATTGTCACAAATAAAACAAATATGCAAAAAACCCACCACAAATAGGGAACTTTCATTCATCCCTAGCTAGGGTTACCAGGTTCCCCTCCCCCCGGCCTCCAGGGGGCAGGGTTGCCAGCTCCAGGTTGGGAAACTGCTGGAGATTTGGGGGTGGAGCCCGGGAAGGACAGGGACCTCCGTGGGGTACAGCGCCATAAAGTCCACCCTTTAAAGTCTCCATTTCCTCCAGGGGAACTGACCTCTGTAGTCTGGAGCTGAGCTGTAATTCCAGGGGATCCCCAGGTCCCACCTGGAGGCTGGCATCCCTATAAAAGCATCTCAGAAAGTCCATCGATGAGCTTTCAGTGTTGACGGCACTGAAGATGGCCACGTGTCTCATTGGTCGTGTCCTTCCAAACAGGGTTCGTGAGAAAGAAGCAAGGCAGGAGCAGCAGCACCAGGAGTACATGTGCAGGAGGATGGAAACGGTGTTATCCCTGAAGAACAACATCACTTCAACTCGGGTGCATCCCCTGACCTCATCTCTTGGGGGGCAGCAGCTTTACAAGCACGGGGAAAGAGAGGGTGAAGAAAAAGGCCCAGCATATTGTCAGCAGATATTCTGAGCATATTGTGAACCGAGCTCCTGTCGAACAGATATATTAAAGCTGCTAGGCTCATTTGCACATGAAAGCTATTACTTCATTGCTCACCCCTGACTCAGTCATCTGCGAATAAAGTTAAGCAGCAAGCAGTGCCAAAGCTGGTCCCTCCGCTTACGTCTGTCCCTTGAGAATACTGTCATCTTATTCCTTTCCTCTGAAGACAGCAGATCCATTTCAGCCCGTTTTAAGTCTTCAGCATAGCCACGCCCCTCAGAATAAGCTGCCAGATTCCGTTCCAATTTTTCCCAACTGATAAACTGTGCCTTTTTATTGTCATTATCATGTAGGAGAACTTCCGAACCCTTCAGACCCGGGATAAAGCCCTTGCGCTGGAAGCCAGAGAGCAAGAGCAGAAAATGAAGGAGGCCATCCAGGCGCAGGGCCTCGATGTCACCCGGGAGCTTTTGCTCCATAAACGACAGGAAGAGTTCGAGAGGCAGAAGAAGTAAGTTTGCGCTTCGTTTGTACGAGGCTTCCTGTTGATGGATGGATCGATTGTGTTTTGCCCTGCCTTTCATCCTAGTCCAGCCGCTACCCTGCACTGGCCCTGCCTCGGTTTTGCAATCCAAAGAGCCGAGATTTAATTCCTAGCATCCTCTGCCAGCCCTGCAACCTGAGATCCTTTTTACCTAAGACCGTTCCTTGCCAAGAGTCCAGAGAGTTGCTGTCATTTGGACCGGATCCTCAGACCAGCAGTGATCTGGCAGTATTGGGATTGCTCCTCAAGACTGTGATATATCCAAATTTCATTTCACAGGGGCTTGTGCAGGGGCATCTGTCTGCTGGAACGTGGGTAGTATAATCGCTATAAGGTCACATTTTCTATACTAGGAATTTGGCCTTGTTGGGAAATTGTGTCTGTCTGTGACGCGCGCACACACACATGGTTTCTTTCTGTATATTCTTAAGCATCAGTCCTAGCTAATACATCAGTTCAGAGGCTCAAAGGGAGATATCAGGGAGGCACTTGGACATTGAATGCTACTCACAGCCAGTGTTCCCTCTAAGATGAGTTAGTGTGAGCTAGCTCACAGTGTTTTAGCCTCCGGCTCACACATTTTTGTCTTAGCTCAGGAAGGAGGGCTCCAGAGCAAAGTAATTTATGCAGCAGCCAAATCGCTCGCTCACAACTTTAATGCCAGCAGCTCACAAAGTAGAATTTTTGCACACAAGACTCCACAGCTTAGAGGGAACATTGCGTCACAGCAGCATTCAAACTGGTATGAATAGCGTCACTTCCCCCAAAGCCCTTGCAGCCTTCTGCAAAGACTAAACCTTTCCATAGCCAGCTGCAAAAACTTCATTGGCTAAAAACTAACAGCACCGAATTGTTTCCAGGCTGTAGCTCAGACTAGCTCACCAGAGCCTGGAAACTAAGCAGGGTCGGTCGGTCGGTCCTTGGATGGGAGGCCACCAAGAAAGGTTAGGATGGCTATGCAGAGGAAGGCAATGGCAAACTGCCTCTGCCTATTTCTTGGGGAGGGGCTGTGGTACAATGGTAAAGCATCTACTTGGCATGCAGAAAGTCCCAGGTTCAACCCTCGGCATCTCCAGTTTAAAGGATGAGGAAGGTAGTGGGTGTTGTGAAAGATCTAAAGCAGAGCCCCCAAAGAACCACTGCCAGTCTGAGTAGGCAGTACTGACTCTGATGGACCAGGGGTCTGATTCAATGTGAGGCCGTTTCATGTTTCCAGGCAGCTGCAGTATGGCAGAATTGCCAACCGTCAGCAGCCTGCGGCCTCTAAAGCCGGGGTGGCCAAACTCGCTTCACATAACAGCCACACAGAATAAACGTCAGATGTTTGAGAGCCGCAAGACATGGACAAATATCACACACTTTTTATTGAAAAATATGCAAATTTGCTTTTTATTAACATTAAATTAGACTGTGTGAAAGAGCCGCATGCGGCTTCCGAGCGGCAGTTTGGCCACCCCTGCTCTACAGGCTATTTACGTAGCGAACTACGAGAGGGGATGCAGTAATAATAATAATAAATAAAAAATAAAAAATAAAAAAAATAAAAAACGAGAGGGGAGGCAGAGAGACGGCAATTTGCAAATGTATTTTTTTAGAAAATGTATGTGCTGCCTCTCTAGACACCTGCTCGAGACAACTCAACATAATAAAAATATATATAATAAAACTCTAAGACAGCATAAAAACAACCCAGAGGCATTGGAATACCGTAAAACAATGCCCAACGGCTTAAAATGGTTGATCATAAAACTGTCTGCAGGGTAGAAGCAGACCGTAATGGATGGGGCCTCCTCAGTGAAAGGCCTGGTTAAAAATAATGCTTTGGCTTGGTATCTATAGAAGAGTGAGGTAAGTGCCAGGCAAGCTTTAGAGTGGGGTACATTCCAGAGGTGAGGTGCAACCACTGAAAAAGCCCTGTCTCCGGTTGTCATCCACTTCAGCTCTGCAGGCTGGGCCCCAGAGAAGATATTAACTAGTGAGTGGATTTCAAGGGGCTGGTTCTCCAAGTGCCTTGCTGAGAGGAAATTTAGGCCCTTGAAGGTCAGAAGCAATACTTTGACTTGTTTCTAGAATCAGATAAGCAACTAGTGTAGATCTTTCAGCATGGGAACAATGCGATCTTTGTAGCCAGGGGTCATTTCCTGCAGGAGCGCACAGGAGCAGAGCTCCGGCAGTAAAGAGCCCAGGGGGCGGGCCCATGCAACAAGCCCCACCCCCTGCTCCCAGCAGCCCTCAGTCAGAGCAAGAAGCAGCCAGGTAAGTTGCAGAGCCCCACCCCACCCCCACGGCCCCAAACAGTCCAGTGGCACCTTTAAGACCAAGTTTTATTCAGGTACAAGCTCTCCCTCCTCTGCGAGGACAGATCTGCACGTCCCCCCCCCCCAATAGCTAGCAATCCAAAACAGTCCAGTGGACCCTGAGCGGTGGGTGTTGCCTTCTGACACACTTCCAGTGATGTCAGGGGGTGTGGCATATGCAAATAAGTTATACTAATGAGTTATGCTAATGTGCTCCTGCACCACTTTTTCTACAAAATGACCCCTGTTTGTAGCTAACTCCTGACAATAGCCAGGAGTTAAATTGGACTAATTGGACTAATTTAAGTCTCTGGACAGTTTCCAAAGGCAGCTTCATGTAATTTAACTTGCATGCGACCTGAGTGTGGATCACTTTGGCCGGATCATGTTCGTCAAGGAATGGCTGATTAAACCTGAGCCTTCAACTGTAGCCCAGGATCCAGCGGCATCCCCAAGCTACAAACTTGCTGCTTTGGGGGGAGGGCAGCCCCCTCTAAGGTAGACTGACTCCACATTATTCAGGCAGCTTTTGCATTAACCAACAGCATCTCCTCCCTGTCTGGATTGAGCTTCAGTTTATCAGCCCCTCATCCATACCCGTAAGCTGTATCCAGAGAGCACGCTCGCCGCAGGACATGCATTTGCTTTTCATTCTTTATCTGACATATTTGAGTGACTTAATCTCAAATGAAGCCCGTCCCCTGCTCTGGCGGTATTATTCATTCTCAGAGTTTGCATGCCTTTACTCTAAATGCAGGGAATTTACGGAACAGCAGAAAGCGAAGAAAATTGAGATCGTAGCTCGGATTTTGAAAGAAGAAGCTCAGCTGGAGAAAGTGAGGAAACAGTCCCGCCCGTGGAGACAGAAAAAGAAGGGAAAGCTCTCTGATGCTATAAGGTGGCGCAGAAAAACATGGCGGTATATAGAGAACGCGTGTGCTGAGCCGGATGCAACTGTTACTCAGGTAATCCACCATTACAAGAAGGCAGCTGGCTTTTAGGAACTGGTCAGTTAATGCCCTCTGTATCCTGAGCTGAGACGGCTGCAGTTTGGGGTGCTGTAGGGAGTAGTGATGCTAGACCAGCAGGACTCCTGATCTAAGGTCTGCAGTTAGAGTTGCCAACCTCCAGGTGGGGCATGGAGATCTCTTGGAATTAGAACTCATCCCCAGCCAATAGAAATCAGCTCCCCTGGAGGAAATGGCCACTTGTAGGGTGGACTCTAAGGAATTATACCCCACCGAGGTCCCTCCCCTCCCTAAACCACTCCCTCCCCAGGCTCCTCCCCCCAAAATCTCCAGGTATTTCCCAACTCAGAGTTGGCAACCACACTTGTAGCACCTTAGCAATACATATCTTCCTAACCCTCTTGTAGTGTGCAAGCAACCTACCCATTTCTGCCATTAACACAATGTGTCGTCTCACAGTATTGTTGTGGGAAAAGCCCAGCAGGAACTCATTCGCATAATAGGCCACACCCAACAGCAGAAACTTATTAGCATATTAGGCCACACCCCTGACAGCACAGCTCATTGGCATATTAGGCCACACCCCATGTTACCAGAAGCGTGCTCATCCAGCCATCATCATTTTGCTTCTTATTCTGTTTACCTTGTTGCCAAAACCCAGGGCTTTTTTGTAGCAGAAACTCCTTTGCATGTTAGGCCACACCCCCCTAACGTAGCCAATCCTAATGAGTTTCTGCTGTTGGGTGTGGCCTATTATGCGAATGAGTTCCTGCTGGGTGTGGCCAACTTGGAAACCAGCCGGAACTCCGTTCCTGTGCGTTCCTGCCCAAAAATAGCCCTGGTTAGCATTATACACAGTCCTAGACTGCATTGTCAATGAAACGTTAATTACTGTTTCAAAATGGTCGCCATTGGGGTAGGCTGTCTGTCATTGGGCTTTTTTGTCTTGCTGTAGAAATCCTGGCGCACCCCTTCACCTTGTTCTTCCCCGGATGACAAAAAAGATGGCCTGGAGGAGTCTTCTCGGAAAGCAACCGAAGAGATGGCTCATAAAAGCAAACACGAAGGAAAGGAGGAAGACTCAAGGGAGACTCTAGCTGAACCGGAGTTTACAGGAATTTGGGATCAAGAGTGCGACATATCCAAGGTTAATACTTCTGTCTGTCTTAATTTTCACTCTTGTCGATTCTCATTTTAATTAGGCAAAGGATACAATCCCTTCCCATTTTATGGGGACTCCTCATCAAGCAGAAGGGCAAAGCAGTGGAAGAAGTGTGTGAAGAACTGTGAATAACAGCCTGCTGCTCTGGGAGCTGCCAAGGCTAGAGCCAGGAACTGTAGACGGCACAGTGTTCCAACCAGGAAAAGAGTTGGCAGGTGCCATGGTGTTCACAGGCATGGTGTTGTGGCCCCGTGATATAGAACATGTAGGGCCTTCTCGATCGTGGCACCAAAATTATGAAAATCCCTCCCCAGATAGATTCATCTGTCCCCTTATATCATTGTCTTCCACATGTTGGTAAAGACTCTTTTGTTTGGCATTCCCTTTCCTCACTGACTCCTGCTGACTCTCCATCCTGTTCACATGTTTTAATTGTTTTATATGCGTGTGCATATTTTATATGGGTGTATTGTTTTATGTGTGCATATTTTATATGGGTGTATTGTTTTATGGGTGTGTATTTTTATATGTGTGTATTGTTTTACATGTGTGTGTCTATACATGTGGATATTTTTAAGCTTGTTTTAATGCTTTTATAATTTGCCACCTTGGGGAGCCCAAGTTGGCTGGAAAGGCAGCTTTAAAATGTGTTGAATAAATAAAACAAACACATGTATATGATACCATCAAAATCCTTTCTGTGCAGTGTTTAAAACACCATAAAAAAGAAATCTCGATAGAATTTTACATATAAACACGTCAGGATGAGTGTTTTGCAGTTTCGTCAATCAAATTTTGCATAAAATTTTGGAAATACTAAAATGAAACAGTGGAGAATTCCTTATACATCGGTTTCATTCTGGAAGCAAAACCAAGTCTTATTAAGATCTCCAGAATCAGGGTTAGAGGGAGTAATTCAGGCAAGGAGAACTAAATTGGGAAACATCCTTGGTCTCTTTCTATGCTGCTTAGGAAGGGAACTCTCATTACAGCCCTGTCAGTCAAGGGAGCTGAAACCAACGCTGTTCTCAAAAGCGTTTAACTACAAGGAAAAATTAGCCCACTTAAGTCTTTGTTCAGATATTTGCAAGGACACATATCACTTCATGTTTGCCAGCTTGTTTGAGTGTTACAACCGAACATGACACTTTGCTGAGTTGGTGATGAAGGTGATTTCAAGTGGAAAAAAAAGAAATCCTTTTCCACCCAGCACTGGAGACAGTAAAGTGCCTCTTGAGTATCGGTCGCTGTGCAATACCTGATGGCTCAGATCACAAATAAATAATGTACATCCTCAAAGTGGAAACTTCTGTTTCGTTCCATAGCCAAGAACCTGCATCATTGTATTCTCCCGAGTCACCAGCAGCTTGGGGAAGTGTCTGGGCGACGAGAGAGAGAAAAAATTCAGGACAGGCGTGTTTAAGAAGAATTTATTTTTGTTTAGTAACCTTTCTAGAGGTCCTGGAGGTGAAGCAAGGGCCATGACCTGACTGAAGATAGTTCTTTTTTTAAAATTAACATTTTATTGAATTTTAACATTCATTGTTACCAATATACTACTATCACAATCATATATATCACAAATCATAACTGAGGCTTAAGTTGATACAATACAATAGATTCAGTGTATAGGAATGAGCATAACCACCCAAGAATAAGAAGACATACAACACAGTAGCTAGCTTCTAGGTTTTTCCATAAACCTAAATAATTTATAACTTTAGGGATTTCTTGTTGGGAGGACAAATACTCTAGGATAGGTAGCCAGATAGAGGAGAAGGTAGAGTGTGAAGAAGATTTGTTAAAGTATGCCAGAGTGTCCATGAGTTTGGCCATAATATATAAGCTCCATATTTTTGATGCCATTGCGAGAGAGTCAGTGACTTTGTTAATTACCAATTCTAGCCACATAGAGCAACAAAGATGCTCTTTCCATGTTAGAACAGGAGACATCCCTGGAGGCCCAACCTTTCAATAAGAGGTGTTCTGCTGTGATATTGAGGCCTATACTAGTGATGGATTTGATTTGTGTTTCTACGGATTCCCAAAAAGGAGTAACCGTGGGACGCGAGCTGGTCCCTTCGTCTTTGTCCTGAACTAAATAAAGGTATGCTTAGCTGAAATCGCTCTCCGTCTGCATACTTTTCAGTTTTCTTTAGTGTTAAAAGCTGGGGTGGGTGGGGTGGATCAAGGTTGTGTCACTGAGGAGAGGGGATTATCCCATCCCTTGATTTCCTCCATAGAAATTGTACTTGCTGCTGTTAGCTCAGGTAGAGGGTGGAGTGATTGCTGGGGGGGGGGAACAGTAAAGGAGAAAAGGCTAACTACTGTTTCCTCCACCCCGCCGCTTCAGCCCTGATGCAAATTCTACCTTCCTCCCCACCGCAGCTGCTTTTTACGATTAAAGACAACTTTGGGAAGACCGGATCATAGGCCCTCCTCAAAATGTTGAAGTTGCCTCTTAAAATGATTGATTCATACTGTGAATGCTTTGATTTAAATTTGCATGTGATAAAAGCTGTGCGCGTGTTCTGCGATTCCATCTGTTGCCTCGTTCGCATGACCATCGTTAAGTGCCCGGAAAGGTTACCCAAAGCAGCTTCGACTTGAAAAATAAATATATAGATTGAAGCTTTCCAACTTCCAGAAATAGCCTCAACATGTCACACTAGCGCATACCCTGGCCCTTCATTACGGTCTCATTCTGTGCAGGTGCCAGATGGCAGAATGGATTCCAAACCTTTGGGTGCCAGTAAAACGGAAAAGGATATCTTTGCTCGAAACTTGGAGAAGCTGCACAGCGGAGTCATCCACAAACATCGAGTCTCTGGGCGTGAATTTAAGGGGTGCCCTTTCTACAGCAAGCCAAGCCTTATTCACTTCAAGGTTGGTGCACGCTTTGCAGAAAGGAAATGTGATCAGCTCCTGATAAACACCAGACTTGAAGCCTGCTGCTGATTAAAAGAAACGTGTATTGACTTCTGGGCAGGGGTCATTTCGTAGAAAAAGAGGTGCAGGAGCTCATTAGCATAACTCATTAGCATACCTTATTTGCATATGCCACCCCCCCTGACATCACCGGAAGTGTGTCAGAAGGCAACACCCACCGCTCAGGCTCCACTGGACTGTTTTGGATTGCTAGCTATTGGGAGGGAGGGAGAATGTGCAGATCTGTCCTCACAGAGGAGGGAGAGCTTGTGCCTGAAAAAAACTTGGTCTTAAAGGTGCCACTGGACTGTTTTGGACCAGGGGGTGGGGTAGGGGCTCTGCAACTTACCTGGCTGCTTCTTGCTCTGACTGAGGGCTGTTGGGAGCAGGGGGTGGGTCTTGTTGCATGTGCCCGCCCCCTGGGCTCTTTACTGCCGGAGCTCCGCTCCTGTGCGCTCCTGCAGGAAATGACCCCTGCTTCTGGGGACTTTCATTCACTCTCATAAAATGCGCAACCATCTGTGTACACAGGGAGTTCAGCAAGCTCTCTTTGATTTCTGGTGTAGGCCAAGCAATAGGCAAACTAGGTAAAGCATTAGAGATCCATGACTGAATAGTAGCTGCAGAGCGCCCAAATCGGATCAGAACTGTGATGTCTGGGGAAGGGAGTTAACCCGTTCCCCTGTTCCCTTTTCCTGATATAAGTAGTTCAGTGGTAGAGCATCTGCTTGGCATGCACAAGGTCCCAGGTTCAATCCCCGGTCTCTCCAGTTAAAAGATCTGGCAGTGGGTGATGTGAAAGATCTCTGCTTGAGACCTTGGAGACCTGCTGCTGCCATTCAGAGTAGACAATACTGACTTTGATGGACCCAAGGGTCTGATTCAGTATAAGGCAGCTTCATGTGTTCATGTGTAGTTCTAGTGATGTCCCCCTTCCCGTTCCGTTTTTTCCCCCCCCCCCCCCCAGTGACTGCAAATTGTCCTGGGAATGGGACTGGGGAAGAGATTTAAATTAATATGCCTCGTGCTGTCTGATTGCACTCCTTTATCCCGTAATCCATTTTGATTCTCAGCAAGAGAGGCGGGGCTGTAAATTAAATTAAATAAATAAAACTGGGAAGGTGGTGATGGTGGAGAGAAGGTGAACCCTCCCTCCGTCCGCTGTGTTCCTGATCTAAGTCAGCCTTTCCCACGCCTGCTACAAAAAGAAGTGTATAGGACAGGAGAGCCGCTCGTGGATCTCCAGCATCACATCTAGTCTGACCAGTAAATTCATCATTTAAATAGAGCTCTTCCCAGGGGCCGTTTCCTGCAGGAGCGCACAGGAGCGGGGCTCCAGCAGTAAAGAGCCCAGGGGGCGGGCACATGCAACAAGCCCCACCCCCTGCTCCCAGCAGCCCTCAGTCAGAGCAAGAAGCAGCCAGGTAAGCTGCAGAACACCCCCCCAGCCTAAAACAGTCCAGTGGCACCTTTAAGACCAAGTTTTATTCAGGTACAAGCTCTCCCTCCTCTGTGAGGACAGATCTGCATGCCCCCCCCCCAATAGCTAGCAATCCAAAACAGTCCAGTGGAGCCTGAGCGGTGGGTGTTGCCTTCTGACACACTTCCGGTGATGTCAGGGGGTGTGGCACATGCAAATGAGTTATGCTAATGAGTTATGCTAATGAGCTCCTGCACCTCTTTTTCTACTAAATGACCCCTGGCTCTCCCCCAAATAAAGACACGTCATGCGTCCATTCTGTAGCATGCCTTGGCCTTGGCCTCTCCTACGCATCCTTCCCTTGGCCCTCCCGCTGGCTCCCGCCACTCTTTAGGATGGAGCACTTAGCCAAGAGCAGCCAAAACCCCCTTCCACCTCTCTGTCATGAAGGGCTGGTCTGTTGCCCACCGCCAAGGGCTTTGCAGTGACCCCTAAATCCTTAGCTGAGCTGCAACTTAAATAACAGAGATTCTATTGTTTCAGCGAATAGGGTGGGATATAAATCTAGTTAGTTAATTAATTAATTGTGTTGTTTCCAGGACTTTGATGTCGGTAAAACCTATAAAAAGAAGGTGATTTTGATCAACGCCTTCTATAGCATTAACTACTGCAAGCTAGTGGGAGTCAGTGAACACCTCAAAGACTTCTTCACTGTTCAGTAAGTACACATGGCCATCTCTGCCCAGTGTGTGTGTGGGGGTGTGTGGAAGCAGGGCCAGGGAAAGTGATGGGGTTTATTGTTAGTTTTATGCGTGGAGCTTATATAGTATATTGGCTCAGAGGATGAATGACCCAGGAGGTGGACAGATGAAATCTCATCTCAGCCACACACTCAGTGGGTGCCCTCTTCTCATCTTACAGCGCAGAGTTACACCTTTCCATAGAATCATAGAGTTGGAAGGGACCTCCAGGGCCACGTAGTCCAACCCCCTGCACAATGAAGGAAATTCACAACTACCTCCCCCTCCCGCCCCCAGTGAACCCTTGCGTTTCTTCCTCAGCACATACATAGTTACCTTAACAGGACATCTCCAATTGGTGAAGATAGGATGTAGGGGTGGAGTTTGGTCCCGCCAGTTCCTTGAATTGCAGCCAGAAGAATGTGAATTTCAGGAAAAGTGTTCCAAGGGTTCTTAAAAGCAAAAGCCCCTAACTAAATGGGAAGAGCGAGGGTCGAATCCTGTAGTAGAATCCTTGGGATCTGCTCATGTGTGCTAAAATTATGAAGCAAGAATGCCTGCTTAGGATCTCCTAAGAGTTTAAGGTATAGATAATCTGTTTTAACTGAGCATGCACTGTGCATTAGGACTGTAAGAAGTGCTGGACCAAACCCAAGCCTAACTAGTCCAACATTCTTTGCAATAATCCTAGGAACCTGCTGGCAATAGGTGGTCCACTAAGGACTGAACAATGGCCCAGTGATGGACCACAGTTTGCCTCATGCTCACTAGGAATGAGCAAAAGTCCTCCTATCTTGTTTAATTCATTAATATTTTTATCAGCAATGTCAGTCTTTTGCTTTTCAGTTTGGTGTAGTGGTTAAGTGCATAGACTCTAATCTGGGAAAACCGGGTTTGATTCCGCACTCCTCCACTTGCACCTGCTAGATGACCTTGGGCAAGCCATAGTTCTGGAACGGCTGTTCTTGAAAAAGAGCAGTTTCTGTCAGAGCTCTCTCAGCCCCACCTACTTCACAGGGTGTCTGTTGTGGGGAGGGGGAGGGAAAGGAGTTTGTAAGCCGCTCTGAGACTCCCTTGCATAGTGAAGGCGGGGTATAAATCCAATCTCTTCTTTTCTTCTTCTACAATTCATTCATATTGTGTATGCTGGCGATAGGTGGTCCACTAAGAACTGACCAGTGGCCCAGTGGGTGGACCACGGTTTGCCTTCTGCTCACTAGGAATGAGCAAAAGTTCCCCTGTCTTGTTTTATTCATGAATATGCCAGTTCTCTGCTTTTCATTGTTGGTTTTGTACGTTCATTCATGTTGTGTTATGCATATACAGTATTTATTACATGCATTATACATTACTTGTACATATAATGCTGATAAATTAATGCACAAATAACACAGAAAACCCATTCACATTTTAAGGGAAAAGCAGAGTAGAGCATGAAAACATAGAACTGCAGTTCCAGTTCGCACGAGGGAGAAGCAAAATTGAAATGGGGTGGGGGGTTTTCCAGGTGAAAACAGCAGGGATGAGAAATCTGAAAACATCCCTCTTGCCCATCCCAGGATAGATAAAACAAAATGTGGGGTGGGCAAGGTCCTTTTATTGCACACACTTCCCAGCTCACATTTTGGTTCCTTTGGTGTATGTATGGGTATATGTGCTTCAGTTCAATATGTGGCACATATGCAACACCACCTTGGTTTAGTTAATGCTGATGGTTCAAATGCAAATTTATTCTCTCACCACACGTATTAACCAAGCGCATGGCCGGCTTTCTTGACTCTGAGCCCTTTCCCCGAGAAGATTACAAGTTGTAGCAGATTTGCAGCCGGTTGGTGGCTCATGTTAAGAGCAGATCTGTGTGGATTGGACTCTGGTTCTCTAATGCTTTCTTATCTCATTGCAAGATGAAAGCTGTAAATTAACAGCTTATTACAGCCAGCCCGGCTTTGGCCAAGCAGTTCAGAAATTATGCCATAAATCAAACGACAGCTTGGCTTTTTTTATTTTCTTGCTGTCCTGTAAAAGTCTCAGTCAGGGATTTTCCTGCATTGCTAGTCCCCAAGCATGCGGCAGGATGTTATATATGATGAGCGAGTCTAAAAATAATCCTAATCGTCATGTGTCGTTTGGTGGGAAATTATCTGTTTTCTAAAGCCCGGAATGCATAGCACTGAATTTTGGAGCCAACTGTCAGAGATCAGAACTCAGAGAAATAATTTCAGTTTAATTAAATATTTTTTGTTTAATTTCTGTTTAGAAAGAAGGCAGGAGCTTTCTCCTGTTTTTCTTCCCTGTGAGCAGTGCTCAAAAGTACACTGCCTTTGAACATGGAAGTTCCATTTAGTCATCAAGATTAAAAGCCATCCCACCAACATTCTTTATTCCCTTTAAAAGTTATCCTAGTGAGCAGTCATTGCCGTATCTTGTGATGGTGAATTTCATAAATCGATCATGTGTTGTGTGATGAAGTATTTTCATGTCTGTAATCCCGCGCGGAAAGGGGCC